TGGAAGGAAGATCCGAGGTCCTCTTTTCCAAGGATTATTTGAAAGCGAGTTGATGGCGAGCCTGCCTCCCCGGGGTGGCGCTTGTACCAATTTGCCATCGAAACGAATGAACGATGGAATTGTGAGAGGAATGAAAGGTTGTCTCAATGGCGGAGTCGTACTTCCGCTGCTTGGCAGTGTGCCAAACCGTTCAATAATTTTATAAATTTTCAGTTTTACTGCTTACTATTTCACTAAATTTTGGTACTTTAACTTCGCTATTTTAAGCTTCATTTTACCTCTTTTAGGAAATGTGCAGCTGTTGAAGGGTGCGTGAGGGCGATGACCGGGAAGATTTGTCGGCTTCCGGAGCAGGTTGTTAATCGAATAGCGGCCGGTGAGGTGGTGGTACGGGCAGCGAATGCGGTCAAGGAACTGATCGAAAATGCACTGGATGGTGGTGCAACCGAAATCACTGTAACTGCAAAAAATGGCGGACTGGATCTGATTAAAGTCCAGGTTGATGGATTTTCCTGTTCCCGTTGTAATTCCGCGCAAAAAGGAGGACTGAGTACCTCCCCCTGCTAAGACAGTCTCTTCCGATACAGAGCGCTGTTTCGTTTTGATGGCAAATTGGGGTCTAGTACACGTCAGCGTGCCAAATTCGTCATTTTAGTCTACTTTCCTGTGTATTCCATCGACATATTTACCAGCGAGTGGTTGCTATTGGCTCGTGCTGTCAGCCTAAAAGTGCTTCTGAATCTCAAAAAGGGGGGGGGGGGGGGTTTCAAATTTATTTTTAGTAATTTTCGACCACATTTGTTTGTTTAAAAAAAATTGTTTCGGCAACTTGAGGGGTAATACTATTAGTGCTGTCCTTCAAACAAACAGCAATTCTGATATTAAAGAAATTACTTTGAAACTGACTGTAAAGAAGGAATTCTTCACATATTTTGTACGAAGTCATTGAATAGTGAAATTTTTTTTTTGAGCTTTTGGGGTTTTTTTTTATTTCTTTCACAATGACTTTTTCTCATGTGCCATCGTAGTTCTGTGCAAGTTTTTAGTGGTTTTTTTCCAGTGCACGACTTTTCAGGATAATGGAGTAGGAATTGCAAAGGATGACTTGCCGATTGTATGTGAACGCTTCACAACATCGAAATTGGAAAAATACGAAGATCTGGAATCGATG